TACTTGTATGAAAAAGTATCCTGTTCTTTTTGTATTGCTTCCTTTCTGTGAGATCCATGGTGTTCCTGCCATTCGCTCTGCTTTTCTATTTAAAAACCGACTACACTAGGCATGAGAGCAGAGTGTGGTCAGTTTGCCAGCCCTGGTGGGAACTCAGACTGCTCTCCTCCAATGGTCAGACTTCTGTTCACCCCCCCCCCCCCCCACAGCCATTCAGTAGGATGTTCATTGTTCTGCTGTTTATCCTCTCCCACATCTCTGTTCTCAGCTGCATAAGTAGCTGAGAGGGTATGTAATCACTTATAAAACAGAGGGAAAATGTATGTATAACGTTTTTATATCTATACACAAATATTTTTATTTTTATTTCTATTTTAAACTGAATGGGTTGTTTTACAAGGTGGGGATTTACATATACTTTAACCACTTCCCGTCCGGCCCATGTATATAAACGGCAGGACAGGGGCAGTGCAGGGGCGGGGGGCCATTTATAAACGTCCTTCCCTGCTCCCTGCTTGTGCGTGCTCCCTGGTAGCATGCAGCACCGCAATCCGGATCGTTGTACGGAACCTCTGTGTGAGGTCCCGATCATGTGATCACTGATTGGCCAACCAGTGATCACATGAATAGTAGTAAGCAAGATGTCACTTCTGACATCATTGCTTACTACTTGTAAAATCTGTGAATGATCACACAGAGGTCACATGGTACAGGGCTATTCACAACAGCCTTGTACCATGTGACAAGCTCTGACCAATCACAGCTCGCACAGTATTTCTCAATGGCTGCAGGAATGCAGCCAGAGAGAAGGAGAAATGATTGCTTTTACAGCCTTTATGGGTGTAAAAACAATCAGTGTAAAAAAAAAAAATCTTCATCACCCCCCACAAGTAGTACAGTGACTGCTAGGGTGACGGTATGTAAAAAAAACCAAAACAAATAATAATATAAAAATTTAAAAAACTTTTTTGAAAAATTATAATTTATAAACTTGTTTGGGTTATTTATTTTTTTTTACTAAAAAGATAGCTGAATACATTTTGGCCAAGATTTATGAAAAAAGATTATTTATTTGCAAAATTTATATAAGAAAAACACTTTTTTTCTAAATATTTGGACTTTTTCACTTATATAGCAAAAAAAAAAATATACCAGTGGTGAATAAATACCACCAAAATAACGTTTTTATCTGTCTCAAATAAATGCTAAAAATGTCATATGGTTGCAGTATTGCATGACCGCGCAATTGTCATTCAAAGTGTGATAGCACTGAAACGCTGAAAATTGGCCTGGGCAGGAAGGGGGTAAAAGTGTCCGGTATGGAAGTGGTTAACAGAGTTCCCATATTTGAGAGTTTATAGAGAAAATACTATAGCTGCCAACCTTAAAAACAGGTACTTACCAATGGCTGAGTCCAGTGCTGTCTTCCCACAGCCAGATCTTCTTACTGCTGTGGGTCCCTGGTATCGCCATCTTGGATATGGGAGCTGGATGTGATTTCCTGAGGAACTACAGCTGGCTGTCCATTGCGCATGCATGAGCTTGCATGTCACTGGTCCTGCAGCCTCTTGGGACTTGTGATGTGTCAAAGGAGGCTGCAGGAGGGGAGTGAGACAGGGCAAGCACCGTCATCCTAACCTAGGTGAGGATTGCAGAAGAGGACCAGGTACCAATAAAAATTGGTACTCCTTCCTCCCCTCCAAAAATCAGCGGTACTTCACTTTTTGAGCAAAGTTCTACTTTAACTTCTGAGTACTAGCCTGTATAACCCTTTCATTACCAGGCCATTTTTCAGTTTTTAGTGCTATGATAGTAGCCAGGGCCGTGGATAAGGGGATACCACTGGTCCTCCTCTACGGGGGCAAGATGAAAGAAAGAGCGCACAAACCTTGCGCATTACCTCAATAAATAGTGATTAATTTTATTATTAAGGAAATATACTCACAAAGTGATGGTATAACAGGCATAAGTAACCATAATCCAAACAGGGTTACAGGTAAATCCAAAAGGGGGGGGGGGGAATGAAGGCTAACGCGTTTCGAAGGGTGCTCCCTTCTTCATCAGAGCTGATCAAAAAAACAAACAGATACATATACAAATACAAATTCCCCTCAAAATATTTACATGAATCATGATGGTATAACAGGTGGTGATACTGTAGATGAGCATAGCAATACACATGAAAATACTCATAAAAATAGCAATACAATACGTATAGTAATAATAATATTGTCAAAAACCACATACAGGAAAGGTATATATAGAAAACATGTACACACAAAAAAAATAAAAATATATATATACACACATACACATGGAAAATATGGATGGAAATGATGGAAAAAATTGAGAGCTTAATTGTAAAACTGGCATAAGAATCGCTGGTTAACCATTTCAATACCGGGCAATTTTACACCTTCCTGCCCAGGCCATTTTTCACGTTTCAGCGCTCTCACACTTTGAATGACAATTGCGCGGTCATACAACATTGTACCCAAACTAAAATTTTATCATTTTCTTCACACAACTAGAGCTTTCTTTTGGTGGTATTTAATCACCGCTGGGGTTTTTATTTTTTGCAAAATTAACAAAAAAAGACCAAAAATTTTGAAAAAAAAACACATTTTTCACAGACAGCCAATTTAATTTCTTGAGTCCAAGAATGTCAGAACAGTACAGATATCCCCAAATGACCCCTTTTTGCAAATTAGACAGTCCGACGTATTTCATAGGAGGCATGGCGCGTTTTTTGAATTTTTATTTTTTTTGTCATAATTTTTCAGAAAATGAAGAAATTAAAAAAATTATTTTCACTATTTTGTTTTACATACTGTCACCAGTGCAGTACAGCGTCATCATATAACTGGCATGGCGGTGAACAGGGACACTGACTGGTGACAGTATGAAAAAAAAAATATATATATATATTTTTTTTTTTTATTATTTTTAATTTTTTTTATTACATTTTTTTTAAATTTTTTTTAAGATTTTTTTTCATACTTTACTATGACCAAAGTAGTACAATGTTACCATAGTAACACTGTACTACTTTGGGGAAGTGATCAGTATTTTTTTTTTTTTTTACACAATCTGCTTATAGCAAAGAATTACTTTGCTATAAGCAAGCATTTACCTGAATGACATCGATTCATTCAGGTTTTTTTTTTTTTTTTTTTTCTTTTTTGTGCTTAGCTGTGATTTGGCCACAGCTAATCACATGACATGTGCATGTGACCTGCTGTGACCATTCACAGCTAGGCACTAGTATACAATGGATGGCATGAATGAAGCCATCCATTGTATACAACTGTCATGTGACCTGCTGTGATTGGTCACAGCAGGTTACATGGCACCAGCAACGGGGCCCGGTACTCAGATCTGTCATCGGCCGTGTCCGAGGTACACTGCCGGTGACAGATCTGAGTATCGGCCCCCGTTGCCAGTACCATGTGACCTGCTGTGACCAATCACAGCAGGTCACATGACAGTTGTATACTGATCACTTCCCCAAAGTAGTACAATGTTACTATGGTAACATTGTACTACTTTGGTCATAGTGAAATATGAAAAAAAAAATCTTAAAAAAAAAGAAAAAATGTAATATAAAAAAAAAAAAAAAATATATATTTTTTTTTTCATACTGTCACCAGTCAGTGTCCCTGATCACCGCCATGCCAGTTATATGATGACGCTGTACTGCACTGGTGACAGTATGTAAAAAAAAATAGTGAAACTAATTTTTTTAATTTTTTCATTTTCCGAAAAATTATGACAAAAAAAATACAACTTCAAAAAACTCGCCATTCCTCTTATGAAGTACATCGGACTGTCTACTCTGCAAAAAGGGGTCATTTGGGGGATATCTGTACTGTTCTGACATTCTTGGACCTCAAGAAATTAGATTGGCTGTCAGTACTTCAGGATTGATCAATATTCAGATCTATACCATAGTTTGTGAACTCTATAACTTTCCTACAAACTAAATAATACATCCTAATTTGGGTTATTTTCACCAAAGACATGTAGCAGAATACATCTCGGCCTAAATTTATTAACCTCCCTGGCGGTATTCCCGAGTGTAGCTCGGGGTAAGTTTCAGTACCAAAAGCGGTAACCCCGAGCTACACTGCGCATGTGCGGGAGCACGCCAAATGGCGTGCACCCGGAAAGGTGAAGCATTTTTGCCGCCGCCAAACGGCTATAGGCCGGGTGGCAAATTTAAAGATCGATTAGCAATAAAAAGTCATATAAACTGTGAACCATAAAATGTATCTATGGTATACAAAATTATATAATTAATTGTAAAATATATATATATATATATATATATACCTAATAGTAAAAAAAAAAAAAAAAAGTTTTATCAAGCTTCCCCAGCTTCATGATTGAGCTGCACAACCTCTGATCACCAGCGGATGAACACGCTGCTTGTTACTAACGCCCGTTTGATCTGAGTCTTTGAACGCAGGAGATAATGGATCTTTGGTGCCTCCTGTACGGGGCCCAGGCTAACAGGGGGCCCAGGCAGCTGGGTGAATCGGATGTGGGCAGGGAGGGCTCCTGTGTCCTCGCCCACACTCAAACCACACCCAAAAAAGCCTATGAAAGGTACCGGGGCATCTCATGGGGCCCCCTACTGACCCCGGGCTCTCGGCAGTGCCCAAGTGCCCGAATGGTCAGTCCGCCCCTGCTATCAGGCCTGCTCTTTGACACCGACTCAGCCTACCACATAAGCCCTTCCGACATGTACAATAAACTTTTATTTGACTCACGTTATACTTTCTCATCCTTCTCACATCCTAGAGTTATTGTAGGAATATGTGTTCTCAGCTAAGGATTTTCTCCCACATCCTGCTCTAATGACAACTCAAAATATTGTGTCTCTTTGATAACGGTCACCAGGAGGGAGAGAGGGTAAATCTCCCCAATAGGGACATAAACCTTTAAAATGTAAACTATACCTTTTGTTGGCTAAGTGTGTATTTTTTTTATTTTTTCAGTTCCGGTCTGGATCTGCCTGAGGATGTAATTTACACTTTTGGAATTCCATTTCATTCGCTTTATAGAGATCAGTTTTTCTGGTGAGGAGAGGAAACTTTCCCTACAGATCATGCAGTACCTGGCTAACTTTGTGAAGACGGGGTGAGTACTGTTCTACAGTTACCAGAAGTTCCTTACTACCAGAGATGTCCCCTATTTACCAATAAATCGTCCCGGCTTAGTCCCTATTTTTTCTTTACGCTGCCAAACCTGAAATAACAGAAATATTGTCAACATGGTATCAAAAATAAGTTGTGACACACCAAACCTCCTCCCATCCTGTATTATCAAGGGAAGCTTTCATTTTCACTTGAAACGGTAATTAATGCAGCAATGCACTAATATAAACATCACATTTTTTTTAACCACTTCCAGTCTGGACACTTTTACCCCCTTCCTGCCCAGGCCAATTTCAGCTTTCAGCGCTATCACAATTTGAATGACAATTGCGCGGTCATGCAACACTGTACCCATATGAATTTTTTAGCATTTTTTTGAGACAGATAAAACTTTATTTTGGTGGTATTAATTCACCACTGGGATTCTTATTTTTTTTGCTATGTAAATTAAAATGTCCAAACATTTTTTCAAAAAAGTGTTTTTCTTATAGAATTTTGCAAATAAATAGTATTTCATCATAAATCTTGGCCAAAATTTATTCCGTTATCTTTTTTAGTAAAAAAAAAAATAAACCAAATTAGTTTATAACCAAAATTATAATTTTTAAACATTTTTCTTTACATTTTTTTATATTATTATTTATGGGGTTTTTTTTTTTGTTTTTTTTTTACATATTGTCACACTAGCAGTACAGTGTCACTATGGTGACACTGTACTACTTGTGGGAGGTGATGAAGATTTTTTTTTTTTACACTGATTGCTTTTACACCCATAAAGGCTGTAAAAGCAATCATTCCTCCTCTCTAGCTGCATTCTTGCAGCCATTGAGAACTACTGTGTGAGCTGTGATTGGTCACAGCTTGTCACATGGTACAAGGCAGTTGTGAATAGCCTTGTACCATGTGACCTCTGTGATCATTCACAGATTTCACACGTAGTAAGCAATGATGTCACAAGTGACATCTTGCTTACTACTCTGCATGTGATCACTGATTGGCCAATCAGTGATCACATGATCGGGACCTTGCTCAGAGGTCCCGTCCAAAGATCGGTGTTCCACTGTGTCCGGAGGACACAGCGGGCACCGGATCGCGGTGCTGCGCACTCGCAGGGAGCGCGCACAAGCAGGAGGCGGGGAGGGCATTATAAAGGGCCACCCGACCCTGGAGTGCCACCGTCCGGCCGTTTATATACAATGGCCAGACGGGAGGTGGTTAAAGGACTTAAAGTGGTATTAGTGCGGAATTTGCAGTGTTTTCTGTGCGAATTCCGCACCGCATCAGAATCGCACCCCGTTCATGTGAACCGCTGCGGGTGTGTATGTTATGTTAACAACACCCCAAAAGCGGTCCGCAAAACGCGGTGCGATGTGCAGAATCGGATCGCATAGGTGTGAATACCCATGGGGTCCGATTCTAGTGCAGACCAAAAAAAGGGTCCTGCACATTATTGGTGCGGTGCGATTAGAGTCATACAAAATGTATGGCTCCAGTCGCACCGCACACAAATCGCATGTGATTTGTACAGGAATGTGGTGTGAATCACAAGTGATATATTGCACCGCATATATGTGAGCCCAGGCTTAATGTCATTGTTTTGTTTCCTAAATATTAATAACATATTTTACATTCATTTGATGTTTTTTTTTTTATTCCATTTACTGAGCTTTCTTTTAAAAAAATATTTTTTTCATTCAATGTGAATGTAACAAATCCAAGAGATCCCTCCATCGATGATATACAGGGGGATGGATGAATCCACCGCTGTGGCTACTTTATTTTGACAGTCAGCCCCGCTAACTGTCAGACTATAGGAACCATGCTTGCATTTGACTGGATGCAGGCGCTGTTGGGCCTTCAGTTTTCCACCTGTGATGTCATGCCACAGGAAGCTGACAGGAACACCCATTTTTAGTTAATTTTCGCTGATTCCTCAGGAACCACTGACTTGTTTTCTTGCCTTGCACCATTAAAGTTTATCTAAAGCTAAATCTTTTTTATTTTGGTTTTGGACAAAGAAGTGAAGAGTTAGAAGGACCTGGGTTGGGTTGGTCTCCATTACAGAGATTCACTGTCACTATTTTCCAGGTGATCATTGGCACCAGGACTAAAAAAGAAGAGAAAATTCTAAATTTCGAGCTGCAACCAGAACAGGCATAGTGGATAAATCTTCCAGTAGGGACACCTGTTATTGCTTAAGAGGGGATTTTACTTCACTTTTGAAAGACTTTCCCTCACTTCTTGTGTCTGTGTTGTGTCTATAGGACAGGGAGTGGAGGGAAATCTCTTGAATGGGACACAGATGGAAAAAAACAGCATTTTATTCCTTCTCTACTCCAGGGGTCAGCAACCTGTCAATCTCAGTCTGCTGATTGCAGGCATGTAAATGGTAGATCGCAACTGACTCTCTCGGGTTTGGCCATTTCAAGGTGAAAGATTCCACTCCTTCCATTGCCTAGGCTATTACAGTGTACCTTCCAGCTGACACCTTCCCCCAAGTGAGCTCTGTCTACAGCGGGCACCCCCTCCTTGGTTAGGAAGAATGGCTCATGCCATCCAGCCTTACAAACCTGAAGCTGTTCCATCCATGCAGTGTTACTCCCCTGCTACATGCTCCTGACCCCTGCACTGTGCATTACATACTACTGGTCTCTGTATTCTGCATTACTTACTCCTTTGCCCTGCATTATACTACTGACCTCTGTGTTACATACTACTGACCTCTGTGTTACATACTACTGACCTCTGTGTTACATACTACTGACCTCTGCACTCAACTTTGAACTGTGTGTTACTACTGACTCCCTAAACTCTGCATTACTTACTGCTGAACTCTTTGTTACTACTTGCCCCTAAAGTCTGCGTTACATACTACTGACCCCTAAACTCCGCTTTTCAGACTACTGATCTCTGAAGTCTGCATCACTTACTACTGACTCCTGCACTCTGCTTTACTTTCTACTATCCCCCAGAATTCTGCATTGCTATTGATTCCTGAACTCTGCATTACTTACTACTGACCCCCGTGCAGTGGTGTATTTAGCTTTTGTGCAGCCCTAGGCAACACAAAAATAGGGCCCCCCCCATAGAGAGCGCCTGACATTGACCAACAACACCCCTGCCCACACCCCCCCCCCCCCACCTGAGAGAGCCTTCCAGTAATACCCCCCCCCCGTCAAGAAAGATACCTTCACAGCTCTGCACAGCCCCGGGAACAAGAGTCAGGCTCTGCATACACCATTAAGCAGCTCGCAATCTCTCTCGGATCCCACCTGGTCCCCATGCCGCATGTTTCCCTTCTTCCATCCCTTTTCTGGGGGACATTGCTGCCCCCCCCCTAAAAACCGCCACCCTAGGCAAATTCCTTGTTTGCCTTGTGGTAAATACACCCCTGCCCCCGTGCTCTCCGTTCTATACTACTGTCCCCTGAACTCTGCATTACTTACTACTGACCCCCGTGCTCTGCATTACATACTACAGTCCCCTGAACTCTGCATTACTTACTACTGACCCCCGTGCTCTGCATTACATACTACTGTCCCCTGAACTCTACATTACTTACTACTGACCCCGTGCTCTGCGTTACATACTACTGTCCCCTGAACTCTGCATTACTTACTACGGACCCCCGTGCTCTGCATTACATACTACAGTCCCCTGAACTCTGCATTACTTACTACTGACCCCCATGCTCTGCATTACATACTACTGTCCCCTGAACTCTGCATTACTTACTACTGACCCCCGTGCTCTGCATTACATACTACTGTCCCCTGAACTCTACATTACTTACTACTGACCCCCGTGCTCTGCATTACATACTACTGTCCCCTGAACTCTGCATTACTTACTACTGACCCCCGTGCTCTGCATTACATACTACTGTCCCCTGAACTCTGCATTACTTACTACTGACCCCCGTGCTCTGCGTTACATACTACTGTCCCCTGAACTCTGCATTACTTACTACTGACCCCCGTGCTCTGCGTTACATACTACTGTCCCCTGAACTCTGCATTACTTACTACTGACCCCCGTGCTCTGCGTTACATACTACTGTCCCCTGAACTCTGCATTACTTACTACTGACCCCCGTGCTCTGCGTTACATACTACTGTCCCCTGAACTCTGCATTACTTACTACTGACCCCCGTGCTCTGCGTTACATACTACTGTCCCCTGAACTCTGCATTACATACTACTGTCCCCTGAATTCTGCATTACTTACTACTGACCCCCGTGCTCTGCGTTACATACTACTGTCCCCTGAACTCTGCATTACTTACTACTGACCCCTGTGCTCTGCGTTACATACTACTGACCCCTGAACTCTGCATTAGGTACTATTGACCCCCGTGCTCTGCATTACTACTACTGACCCCTGTGCTCTGCGTTACTTACTACTGACCCCTGAACTCTGCATTACGTACTACTGACCCCCGTGCTCTGCATTACATACTACTGTCCCCTAAACTTATTATTATTTATTACATCGAGTTTATATAGTGCCAAAGGGTTTGCTCAGCGCTGTACAATAAACTCTGCATTACTTACCAATGTCCCTCAAGCTCTGCATTACTTACTACTGACTACTGAACTCTGCGTTAATTACTATTGACCCCTGCACTTTGCACTGCTTACTACTGGCTCCTGAACTCAGTGTTACTTTTACTGACCCCTGAACTGTTAAACATTCCTTAATTTTTAATAGGGCCCTACTACATTATCTCTTTAAAAAAAAATATTCATATCCTAAGGAATTGTACCTTCTCATTCTATCTACGGTAGAGCACTTCCCAGTGGCAGGCAGAGGCAAACAATGTCATAGGTCTTAGGAAAAACCTATTGAACCTAGACAACATAAACAAAGTTCAGGCTGGCTATACCCTGGCTGCAAACATGAAATGTAGACTAGTAACTCTCCAGCTTAAAGCCAACTATAGGATGAACAATAGGAAAAAAAACATTGCAGTGAGGGCCCCTTCGCACTGCAGAGGTTATATACTTTTTAGGACTAGGATGAGATGAAGAGGCTGTATTAATTACCTTACTGCCCATTCCAGTGCAGTCCTTGTCTCTCCTCTGCTCCAGTCTGTTGGTGGTCCCTCGGTGTCATCATGTATAATGGAGGACTATTAATCCTGCATTGAATGTGGAGGGACAGGCATGCAACTGCAGCCAGGAGCACCTTAGAGAGGAAGTTTTGCATGTCAACTGAGCCTACCGGAGCAAGGAATAAGGTATTTCACCTTGTTGCCTGTACCCTTGGGGGGGAAACCAGTGGCTAACCCTTGGCGGGCCCTACTGCAATGGTATTTGTTTTCTCTATGTCCAAACTTGTGCTTTAAGCAGGGTACCAATATGTAAAACTGAGTTTATCATGTCAGCTAGGTTAGATCAGAAGGACTTGTGCTTTTAAAATTCTAAGCACTGCAGAGGTTATATACTTTTTAGGACTAGGGTAAGATAAAGAGGCTGTATTACTTACCTACTGCCCATTCCAGTGCAGTCCTTGTCTCTCCTCTGCTCCAGTCTGTTGGTGGTCCCTCTGTGTCAACATGTATAATGGAGGGCTATTAATCCTGCATTGAATGTGGAGGAGGCAGGCATGCAACTGCGGCCAGGAGCACCTTAGAGAGGAAGTTTTGCATGTCAACTGAGCCTACCGGAGCAAGGAATAAGGTATTACACCTTGTTGCCTGTACCCCTAGGTGTAACCAGTGGCTAACCCTTGGCGGGCCCTACTGCAACAGTATTTATTTTCTCTATGTCCAGACTTGTGCTTTAAGCACTTTCTGACCGGCCGTTGTACATAAACGGCCAGAAGGTGGCAGTGCAGGGATGGGTGGCCATTTATAAACGGCCTCCCAGCACCCTGCTTGTGCGCCCTCCCTGGGAGCGTGCAGCACCATGATCTGGTGCCCGCTGTGTCCTCCGGACACGGAAACACAGTGAAAACACCGATCGTCGGACGGGACCTCTGTACGAGGTCCCGATCATGTGATCACTGATTGGCCAATCAGTGATCACATGCAAAGTAGTAAGCAAGATGTCACTTGTGACATCATTGCTTACTACGTGTGAAATGTGAATGATCACAGAGTCACATGGCACAAGACTATTCACAACAGCCTTGTACCATGTGACAAGCTGTGACCAATCACAGCTCACTCAGTACTTCTCAATGACTGCAAAAATGCAGACAGAGAGAAAGAGAAATGATTGCTTTTACATCCTATATGGATGTAAAAGCAATCAGTGTAAAAAAAAAAAAAAATCTTCATCACCCCCCACAATTAGTACAGTGTCACCATGGTGACACTCTACTGCTAGGGTGACAATATGTAAAAAAAAATAAAATAAATAAATAAAAAATAATAATATAAAAAAATAAAATAAAAATGTAAAAAAAATGTTTAAAAATTATAATTTTTGGTTATAAACTAATTTGGATTTATTTTTTTTTACTAAAAAGATAATGGAATAAATTTTGGCCAAGATTTAAGATTTTAACACTTTTTTTCAAAATTTTTGGACTTTTCATTTACATTGCAAAAAAAATAAAAATCCCAGCGGTGAATAAATACCACCAAAATAAAGCTTTATCTGTCTCAAAAAAATGGTAAAAAATTAATTTGGGTACAGTGTTGCATGACCGCGCAATTGTCATTCAAAGTGTGATAGCGCTGAAAGCTGAAAATTGCCCTGGTCAGTAAGGGGGTAAAAGTGTCCGGTCTGGAAGTGGTTAAGCAGGGTACCAATATGTAAAAACTGAGTTTATCGTGTCATCTAAGTTAGATCAGAAGGACTGATGCTTTAAAAATCTAAGCAATATTCCACATAAAATGTCTTTGCTTTGCAGAAACCCCAACTTTCCCTACACTTATTCCAAGAAAAGGAATGTTGCGTTACCACCATGGCCTGAATATCGGACACAGAGTGCCGGCAGAAAATTCAAAGAGTTCACGAAGAGTCTGCCGAATGGTCAGGATCTGAAACACAACGAATGTTCATTCTGGAATGATTACATCCACGCACTTAAACTGTCTACAAGTAAGTTTAACAACCCCGTGATCAAGGAGGCAGCAGATGTTGTGTTGGTTTACTGTTCGTTTTTTAAAATTCATCAGAGATAGAAATGTCACCAGCGCAGATGTCAGGGAAGTGAAATTAGGCTACAAACATGAAGAAAACGAAAAAAAAATCTAGGTAAAGCAGACCCCAAGAAAAAGAAAGAGAAGAAGGGGGAATTCCTACATTAATCTACTACATCTACCCTTTGTGATATCTGTTCTCTTGCCCCGCTGTCTATGAACCAGTGAATACCATCAAAACCTCTTCAGCACCTCTGGGGATTCTCATTTTCCACTCAGTATGTATCTGACCTCAAAACATTACTTTTTAGAAGATGAGCAAAGGTCATTCAAACATAGAGCTTTCAGTGTTTTAGGGTTCATGCACACGGGGCGGTTTGGCTCCAACAGAAATCGCTGGCATTTTGGGGGACAATGGAAGCACAGGTGAAGTAACAGCCTAATGCCAGTAGCGACTGGACCCTGTTCCATGTGATACTGCTGTTGGAGGCTTTATGTGTTCAGAGATGTAAGCCCAAATGCGGAATTCCTGCATGCTGAGCATGCGTTCCTGAAAGCATACAGTCCTTAACGTAGGTACCACTCGGAACATTGTCAAGCTGCAACATTTCAGCCGGTCATTGATTTTTAAGAGGCTGTTGATAGCAGGCTTTACGGTACACTTGTGCCTCCCAAATAAATAAAACTAATACAACTCAGATGCCCCCCAAACTCAAATTAGTTGGACCGGCATGAAATACTGCTGAAGGAAGGATGAAAGCAGCTTGTCAGGCTCCAAATAGACTACAACAAAATGGCATCCTCCGGCTCACTGTATATGTAGATTGGTAGAAATAGGATTAAGATGGCTTTAGCTCATGCTCTCCACCACTGTAGAGCTTCTCAGAAGCATTTCACCCTATCCGGGCACTTACGATTAAGCCCTGAATAGGGCAAAACGCATCTTAGGAGCTCTACACAGGAATTGGACACAGTATCCTAAATGAGGTCTCACTAGAGATCTATATAGGGAAATCAGGACCTCCTTCCTCCTGCTGGTGACCCCTCTAGTGATGTATCCTAGAATTCTATTCACTTTCCCCACTGCCTGGCCACACTGTTTGCTCATTTTTCAATCATCACCCCAAATCTTTTCCTCTGTAATGCTAGCCAACACTGTACCCCAATGTTGTACTCTCCCTTGTATTTTTTCCTAGGTGCATTGTCTTACATTTAGAATCATTGACCTGCAATTTCCACTTTTTTTGACCAATCTTCCAGCAATGCCAAATCATGTTCCATGTTACAAACACCTACAGAGATATCAACCCTATTACATACCTTTGTATCACGAGCAAAAACCTTTAGTTATGTCACTTACATATAGATTAAATAGTTCAGGACCCAGTACAGAGCCTTGGGGTACACCACTAGTGACTGTTATGTGCTCCGAGTGAACCCCATTTACAACCCTACTCTAGTATCTATCCTTTAGCCAGTTGCATATCCACTGAACCACCCAAGGGCTAAGTCCTAGCTTGTACAACGTTTGTATTAGATCATTATGTGGAACTGTATCAAATCATGATACGCTATGTCCACAGCATCACCCTGGTCCAAAACAATGGAAATATAAAAAAAAGTCCTGTCAGATTAGTCTGACATGATCTGCCCTCAGTAAAGCCATGCTGCTTTGGATCCAGAAAGTTGTGTGTTTTTAAGTGATCAATGATCCTTCTTTTCGGGAGTGATGCCATTAACTTGACCACAACCGATGTTAAACTCTCTGGCCTGTAATTGCCAGCTTCTACCTTGCTGCCCTTCTTGTTGTTAAGTAAAATATTAGCTGTTCGCCAATCACTCCTGTTAGAAGAGATTGATTAAAAAGATCAGTTAATGGTCCAGCAACTATACCTCCAAATTCTCTTAGAACTCTGGGATGAAGACCATCAGGGCCCTTTGCTTTATTAATCTTTAACTGAGCCAGTTCCTCTGCTACCTCTGTCTCCAGAAACCCTAAAAATGAACCAACATTACTAGAACTAATATGATTTCCCAACTTTATATTGTTAGTATAATTTATTTCTGAGAAAACTGAACACAAGTAATTGTTTAAGTGGTTTGCTACATCCAAGTCTCCCTCAACATAAGTGTTGTGCCCAGTTTTCATTTTAGTGATCCCATCATATTTTTTATTTCTATCACTAATGTACCTAAAAAAGGGTTTATCTCCTTTCTTAATAGATTTAGCAGTTTCCTCCTCTTTCTGTGCTTTGGTAGTGCGGTGGCACAGTGGCTTAGTGAATACATAATGGTGCAGAGCTAAATAAATACTAACATAAGTGACCAAAATCAGACTAAATATATTCAAATAAATAAACAATCTTAAGTGAAAAAGTGTACCAATATTAAATAAGTGAGTGCACACACATAATCGATATAAAATCGATATAAAAGAATAACCCCAATAACAGGGATCACACTAGGTGAATAACATAATAAGTGCATGTGTATACAAAAACACTCTGTGAAGTTATATATATCCACTATAAAAAAGTCCCACACACTGTCACAATATTAAATATAAATTGGTGCTCCACAGCAATAACTCGCGTGTAAATAATCATAAATCCAGTGCCAACTCATGAATCCAAAACCATCCGAAGTGCCCCCTCACCTCCTAACCGTGACCACAAGGGCCAGCTCGCTTTAGGGTAAGACACACTTTCCCAGGAATAATCTCGTCTCCACCAGATGGACCCTCCTGGATATCCCACAGACTTTTATCCTCCTGAGTACTCCAATCCCCTGGTACTTGTATTAGTAGTTCACCCACACAGGATCATGATAAAGACAGATAGAAATCCTCCATAGTGTAAATCCGTATTTATTGCACATATAAATCCAAAAAAAAATCCTACTCACATGTCACACAGCAACATCAGGTATTTCCCCATATTATGGGTGCATATGCATGGTTCCAGGTGTATAAAGATGGCCCACACACCGAAACTGACGTCACTGCGCACCGGAAGTACTGCCACCGCGTACCGACGCGTTGCGTCACGATTACCACGTGACTTCTTCAGGGTATACGCCCATAGTGACAGGAATGCCTTAAATAGGCTTAGTGGTTAGCACGTCTGCCTCGCAGTAAATGGGTCATGGGATCGATTCCCGACCATGGCACCTTCTGCATGGAGTTTGCATGTTCTCCCTGTGCTTGTGTGGGGGTGCTCCGGTTTCCTCCCACACTCCAAAGACATGCTGGTAGGTTAATTGGATCCTGTCTAAATTGTCCCTAGTATGTGTATGTATGAATGTAAGTTAGGGACCTTAGATTGTACACCCCTTGAGGGTTAGGGACTGATGTGAATGTACAATATATATGTAAAGTGCTGCGTAAATTGACAGCGCTATATAAGTACCTGAAATAAATAATGTGTCTGCCCTCCCTTTTTGTCTATTTTTTATACTATTGTCTGTCAGCCACACCTCCTATTGAACCTCCTATATGTTGATTTTCTCCTTTACTATCCTACTAATCTCTTTATTGAACTATATTGTTTTTTTCTTCTGTTTTATTCTTACTAACTTGCCTGACATTACTTACTCTTGTCATTTTACTCCAACCTTTCAACTCATTTTTCAGAAATTCACCCATTTCAGCAAAATTTGTCTTTTTGAAACCTAAAACTATTGCATATGATTTTTCAGTTCTTATTTTAATATCAAACCAAAGATATTGGTGATCACTAGAACCCAAATGTTCTCCCACCTCAACATGAGACAGTTGATCCCCATCTGTCAGTACTAGATCTAGAATATGATCACCTCGGGTTGGACTTTTCACTAACTGTCTTAGAGAAAGTCCATTCAGTGATTCCATTACATCCCTGTTTGAGAATTATTATTATTATTATTATACAGTATTTATATAGCACCAAAGGGTTTGCTCAGCGCTGTACAGTAGCAGGGGAACATAACATGAGACAGGACAGTAACAATACAATACATGAGGGGTTCGAGGGCCCTGCTCTTTCAAGCTTACAATCTAGGAGGGAGGGGAAGGTGGCACAGGAGGAGATGGCTTTGGGGGATGGAGTGGTGGGAGGAGTGGAGGAGGTTAATTGTTGGGTGAGGTCGGGTGTTAGGTGAGGTTGGGGTAGGCTTCCCTGAAGAGGAGGGTTTTCAGGGTGTGCCTGAAGGTGAGGAGGGTAGGTGACATTCTGATGGATTGGGGTAGGGAGTTCCAGAGGATGGGGGAGGTCCTACAGAAGTCCTGCAATCGGGCGTGGGAGGAGGAGACCAGGGAGCTAGAGAGCAGGAGGTCCTGTGAGGAGCGGAGGGCACGGGGTAGGGTAGTATTTGGGTATCAGGTCAGTTATGTAGTTCGGGGCGGCATTGTGAATGGCCTTGTAGGTCAGGGTTAGCAGCTTGAACTTGATGCGTTGGGCAATCGGGAGTCAATGAAGGGATTGGATTCCAGTTAAGGTCAGTGATACACAGCTTAGAGTTTACTGTAAATCATATGTAAATGTCATTCTAATTATCTGTAGCATTCCCCCCACCCTAAAGGTTCTTTTCCAATACTAGCAGCTAGGCACACAGAGGTTTAATTATTAAAACTGGACAGTGCAGTATCTGGTGCAGCTGTGCATGGTAGCCAATCAACTTCTATCTTCAGCTGTTGTTCAATTAAACTTTAGAAAAAAAACTGGAAGCTGATTGATTTCTATGGAGAGCTGCAGCAGATTATGCATTCTCCAGTTTTAGTAAATCAACCCCCACAGTCTCTCACTCTTTTGGCTCAGTGATCAGTCTAGGGGTAGCTTTTTGATGCCTTTCAAAAAAAAAAAAAAAAAACTTGAACTTGGACGGGTGCAAAGTAACTGTGGGATACTCAAGGAACATTAAGTAGCAACTTGAGGACACCTATCTTTCTTCTAAAGATCTTGAGCACAGTCTATGCAGCAGCAAATAATAGGCTGAGCAACACTGTTACACCATATACAATGCTCACTTTAACCTCCTTGGCGGTATTCCCGAGTGTAGTTCGGGGTAAAATTTCAATACCAAGAGCGGTAACCCCGAGCTACACTCGGGCTTACCATGCGGCGTTGCTCAGGGGGTCCCTGCAGCACTTACCTTGTCCTTCGCTCCCGCGATGTGTCCCCTGCAGCGTCCCCGGCCATCTCCTCCGGCCGATGCCGGCATCCGGCTTCTGTGTTCCGGTCCCTGTGACGTCGGGACGTAGGGGCGCCGGAACCGGTGGGAAATTTGAAATTTTTTAAAAATGTAATTTTTGCTGTCATTGCTATTTCAATGCATTTCACATACATTTTGTCCCTACTACTTTGTCCTGCGCCCTGCCTGCATTTTGACTGTTCTTTCTGCCTGAAAACTTAGAAAAGTCCATGGCGTCAAAAAAGTGTCCCTTTACGTCAAAAGCGGTTTTTTAGACCGGCTAGAGAACAGCGATAGTAAATCAGAACCACTTGCAGAATTGAGTGATAATGATTCGTGGGGGAAATTCGTCATCAGACACTGAAAACGATTTTGCGACTTTGCTCAGCGATGTGCGAATTTGCCTCTGTATTTCAAATTTCAGTGTTTTTGGTTTGATTATATTATTGAATTAAATTTATTATTATTATATTATTATTTTTTATGATTATTTATTGTATTATAATTTATGATTTCGTGTTTCAAGTTTTATCATACCCGGGATGTTTACTAGACTCTTGTTCGTACAGATTTCAGTGAGTTATTACTAAAAATTACAGCCTACAATAAAAAACTACATATTTCCATGCAAAAAAGTACCGCTTTCAGCACAAAAAATCGGAAAAAATCATACTGCCGAGGAGGTTAAGTAAATGCTGACCCTAATGCAAGAGGGATAGCAGCAGCACACAGTCACTGTAATCTTTCACATTGGCCTGTTCTCAATTATGTTTTTGGATAATTGGATGCCTCCTTCCAATATCTTCAAGACACCTCTGTGAAATCTTCAGACCAGAACCCCCCCCAAAAAAAACAAAACGTCCCTCAGTCAGCTCCAGCAAAGTTCAGCAGAATAAGCCCTCCCGCTGAGACCTCGATGAGCAGTAGAAGCATAGCTGGACTGCCCAGAAGGACAGCAGCCCTTCAGGCTGAGATCTCCCCCTCCTGGAAAAGAACTCCTTTGTTCCATGTCCCAAACTATTTATGCTCACTCACAGCTATCATCTGGGTACCTTTCCCCAGGGATTGGCAGGGACTGCATAAATATTCAGCTGACTCTCCCAACCCAGTATTTTCCAGAATCCTCTAGAATCAGGGGAAAGCAGTCAGTTCTGTAACCAGTGAGACACAGGACAGCCCAAAATAATTACAAGCAACTCAACTGATTACAGTGCAGCTAAGAACTAAATTTACCTAACCTAGCACCTATCTAGGATGGTGCTACATATCCAAACCCCTAAAGTTTTATCTGTCTATAACATAACATAGCATTAAAACATTCAAAGCCTTGATTTCAGTGTCATAAGAAAATGATATATACAGTACATAGTAAAAGCATGAGTAATGTTGTATCCAAATACACTTCATTACATTGAGCACAAAGATGTATAGTGCCCATGCTCAAATGTACCGTATATGCCGGCGTATAAAATGACCCCCTACTTTTCCTGCTAAAATGTAGTGTTTGGGCTATACTCGCCGTATAAGACTACCCCTCTTCCAATGCACACCAGTGGGAGGAATAGTGCCCCATCATCGGTGTCAGTGGGAGGAATAGTGCCCCATCATTGGCATTAGTGGCAGGAATAGTGCCCCATCATTAGTATCAGTGGGGGGAATAGGTGCCCCATCATTGTTTCAGTGGCAGGAATAGTGCCCCATCATTGGTATCAGTGGGAGGAATAGTGCCCCATCATTGGTATCAGTGGCAGGAATAGTGCCCCATCATTGGTGTCAGTGGGAGGAATAGTGCCCCATCATTGGTATCAGTGGCAGGAATAGTGCCCCATCATTGGTGTCAGTGGGAGGAATAGTGCCCCATCATTAGTGTCAGTGGGAGGAATAGTGCCCCATCATTAGTATCAGTGGGGGGAATAGGTGCCCCATCATTGGTATCAGTGGCAGGAATAGTGCCCCATCATTAGTATCAGTGGGGGAATAGGTGCCCCATCATTGTTATCAGTGGCAGGAATAGTGCCCCATCATTGGTATCAGTGGGAGGAATAGTGCCCCATCATTGGTATCAGTGGCAGGAATAGTGCCCCATCATTGGTGTCAGTGGGAGGAATAGTGCCCCATCATTGGTATCAGTGGCAGGAATAGTGCCCCATCATTGGTGTCAGTGGGAGGAATAGTGTCCCCATCATTAGTGTCAGTGGGAGGAATAGTGTCCCAACATTGGTGTCAGTTGGAGGAATGGTGTCCCATCATTGGTGTCAGTGGGGGGGGGGAATAGTGCCCATCACTGATGTCAGGGGGGGGGTGGAATAGTGCCCCATCATTGGTGTCAGTGGGGGGGGGAATAGTGCCCCCATCGTTGGTGTCAGTGGGGGGGAGGAATAGTGCCCCATCATTGGTGTCAGTGGGGGGGGAGGAATAGTGCCCCATCGTTGGTGTCAGTGGGAGGAATAGTGCTCCATCATTGGTATCAGTGACACCAATGATGGGGCACTATTCCTCCCACTGACACCAATTACACTTGCTGACCCTGTTCTAGTATGGTGCTGCTGCAGCCAGCATATGTGGTTGCAGCAGCACCTCTACACTGAACACTTACCTGCTGCTCCTGCACTCGATTTTCGCGGGGGGGCCGCTCGGCTCCGCCCCCTCGCCGGTGATTGGCCGCCTGTGTGCCTTTCCTGAGCTACAGTTCTGGTGGCCAATCACCGGTGAGGAGGCGCAGCCAAGCAGCCGCACGAACATCCAGTGGGCAAACTGATAGGAGCAGCCGCGCTTCCTGGACCGGATCGTCGTGGGACCGGAGCCAGGTAAAAAACAGCCCCTGCCCACCCCTGTACTTAGTGTCCCTTCCGTTGGAAGGGGGGGGGGCGGCGGGCACCGCGCCGCCCCCCTAAAAAGTGTCAGTATGCCGTATACCGGCGTATAAGGCGACCCCCGACTTTTGAGAAGATTTTCAAGGGGTAAAAAGTCGTCTTATACTCCGGCAAATACGGTATTTTCCTCTTGTTTAACTGGTTCATGGAAGGGGTTCTTGGGGGGAACTTTGGGTAGGGTGGGGGTCTTAGTTGGGGAAGTGATGTAAGGGAAATGGAGGGGGAGAATGTATGGAGATTGCAGGATGGGGTACATTCAACAGCAGGGAAGGTGGAAATAGAGGCTGGTAATATTGGAGAGAAGGATGGGCAGGAGGTCAAGAAGGGTAGAGTATAAGGGGGGATGGGGATGGCAAGGAAAGATAAAAAAAAAGGCGGAGGGGGGGGGGGCAAGGTTTGACACCGAAGGTCAAGGGGTCTCCATGTAAAAGGGCCTTGCCTTCCTTTAGAAACGTGAAACTTATCCACTTCCATCTGCTGCAAAATATAATTCCTCATATTGCGCATTATTTTATTTTATCCTTTTAGGTGTCAAGTCTTCTTCTCTGTCAACCACAAAAAGCCCTAAAAGTGTATCACCATCTGCAGTCACACAAGCCGGTGCAAAGCAAGACAAGGAGTCATACAACTAGTTGGCAGCCGGGAGGAGTGATGCTCTCTTGTCCACTCCTCATGCCAGGATCTCTGGTCCAAAATACGCCAGTTATGGGGATTGTAATAAAACCCTCTCTTGTCTGTCTGGTCCTGAATGTTCATTTCATGCTGACATGATGAATTGCGCCTTTCTTTTATACAATAAAGTGATTCAAAAATTGTTATTTTAGTAGCTTGTTATTGACGCGACTATTATTTTACTTTTGACCTTTTACTTTTCAGTGCAATAATTGTTATTTCAGATGTAATGCTTTAAAAATATGTTTTCTATTTAAAGCAACCTTGTTGGTAAAAAAATAAAGTGAAAGTAAAGCTCCAGGAATTACAGTTTATCTAGAAAGGATAGCTGGAGATAAATGTAATATGTGAGTTATGCTCACCTCTATGCTGTCCTTTAGAGATTCATCTCTCCCTCATTCCTTTTCTTGGCTATACCACCCTCCACTATTCTGGGACTGGTTTCTTCAAGATATTGGAGTGTATCTGTGGGAGTTTGTATCCATTTATCCAAAAGAGCATTTGTGAGATCAGGTACTGATTGGAAGAGAATACCTGACTCATGATCACTGTTCCAACTTACCCCCAAAGGTGTTTAGTAGAGTTGAGGTCAGGCTCTGTGAAGGCCATCCAGGTTCCTTCACACCAAACTCATCTAACCATGTCTTTATGAAGCTGGCTGTGTGCACAGGGGCACAGTTATGCTGGACCATAAAGAGTCTTTAGTAAGGTCAGGGCTTTAAGTCAGGGCTCTGTGCAGGCCACTCAAGTTCCTCCATCCCAAGCTCATCAAAACACATATTTATCTTTTTTGGAGTTGGCTTTGTGCACATGGATTCAATCATTCTTGGTCAGAAAAGAGCCTTCGCCAAATGGTTACCACAATCCCCTAAAATGTCTTTATATACTGAAGTACTAACAGTGCTCTGCAATGAGTTTGTTGGGCATCCCATTCCAAAACCATGGGCATTAATGTGTTCAATATATGAGCTGGTGCCTTTGCAGTTATGGCACCCTCCACTCTTCTAGGAAGGCTTTCCACAAGATTTTGGAGTGTTTTCTGCGGGAATTTGAAACCATTCAGCCAAAAGAACATTTGTAAGGTCAGGTACTGATAATAGATGAGAATATCTGGCTCACGTTTGGCATTCCAGTTCATCCCAAAGGTGTTCAGTAGGGTTGAGGTCAAGACTCTCTGCAGGCCACATGAATTCTTCCACACCAAACACATCAAATTGTGGAGGAAGAATACCTAAAATTGGTGCATTCAGAGTCTGGTGCAGCTGTGAATGATAGCCAATCAGCTTCTAACTTCAGCTTTTTCAATTAAGCGTTGACAAAAAAAGCCTGGAAGCTGATAGGTTTTTATGCAGAGCTGCACCAGATTTTGTACTCTCTAGTTTTAGTAAATCTCCCCTATTGCCTTTATGGAACTGGTTTGTGCACTGAGGTACAGTCATGCCAGAATAGAAAAGGGCCTTCTAAAAACTGTTACCCTGTTTAAGGTTGGAAGAGCAAACATTTGAAGGGTGTCCACATACATTTGCCCATATAGTAACTGTTTTGGTATCCACAACCAGGGGCGGACTGACAACTTATGGGGCCCCCGGGCAATAGGGGATCATGGGGCCCCTGTGTCCTTGCCCAAACTCAAAAAAGCCTATGAAAAAGGTACCAGGAGCATCTCATGGGGTCCCCTACTGACCCCAGGCCCTCGGGCAGTGCCCTGAATTTCCAAATGGTCAGTCCGCCCCTGTCCACAACCTTTTGGCCATGTAGTGCACTGTACATAATCTACATACTTTTTTTAAAAAAAATAAATTACAGAATTTTGTTTTGTCTGAAATTTGTCTTCATATGTTCTGAAATGTTCTTGGGTTCTAGATCAGCATATCACCCACACAATCTCTAAACTGCTGCCATGAATATGCATCTTACACTACAAAGGAAGTGATTGTGTTTGATGCAGGCATCTGTCCTACATTACAAGGATTTGACACCTGTAGGTGTATATAAAACTCAAATTCTCTCTGCAGATGCAAACAGTACTTTTATTTGTTTCCTCATTCAACTCTTCTATTACTATGTCAACATTTGGTTATGGCATGCAATGGGTCTTGTAGTTTAGAATGTCCGTAGTAACCTGGAACTTCTAACAATGAAACAATGAAAATCATGGACTCGTTAAAGCAGATCACTGAAAGGATCTGATCGGCGTGCCACTCATTTGTCAGTGCTAACCTGTAGCCCCTCTCCCTCCTTCCTCAAAGCTTCTGATTTTTTGCCGCAGGCAGTGCTGGCAGGAAATGGGTTCAGAAACTGAGAAAGGTACAGAGGAATCGGATATAAGCTCAACCCTTGTTTTCATTTACTTATGACATTTTAAGGGTATTTTAGAAATATGATACCAAGCAGTGCCTCCAATACCAAATAATTCCTGACTTAAATATCTTTAGAGGATGACTGTACCCTGAAAGGGGGGGGGGGGGGGAGGGGAGGGTCCCGGGTGGGAGGGTCCCTGCTCTGTTCTTTCAGTGTATGTGTGCGTGTCAACTACTATTAGGATTCTTAGATGTTTCTGGCTTTAAAAGTTAAAGAAATTTACTTTTACACATGATACATTAAAAAAAAGGTATGGCAAAATACTATTTGTTCTCTTTAAGTGGACCTCCCGGTAAAATAAATAAATAAATAAATATCAAGCCCAGTAAAAGTTTAAAAATACAAACTACTTTGCTGCAATATTCACCTCTCTCCAGATTGAATGCTCAGACTGTTCCCTACCACAGAACCACAAGGACTGGTAAGACCCAGGGGCTGGCTGACCATTGGAGTACTCGGACACTGCCCGAGGGCCCGGGGTCAGTAGGGGGCCCCATAAAATGCCCCTGGTACCTTTTTATAGGCTTTTTTGGGTGTGTTTTGAATGTGGGAGAGGACACAGGAGCCCCATGATCCCCAACTGCCCAGGGGCCCCATGAGTTGTCAGTCCACCCCTGGTAAGACCCTTAGTAGGTTAGTAGGTATGGGTTGTATACCAGTATCTGCTCCTTTGTCCAAGAAGAAACAGAATGAGCACTGCCAGAGCCCTACAAAATGACCTCCAGCAAGCCACTGGTGTGAATACCTCTGACCAAACAATCAGAAACAGACTTCATGAGGGTGGCCTGAGGGCCTGACATCTTCTGGGGGGCCCTGTGCTCACTGCCCGACACCATAGACCTCGATTGGTATTTGCCATTTAACACCAGAATTGGCAGGTCCACCACTGGCACTCTGTGCTTTTCACAGATGAGAGCAGGTTCACCCTGAGCACATGTGACAGACGTGAAAGGGTCTGGAGTAGCCGTGGAGAATGTTATGCTGCCTGTAACATCGTTTTGATGGTGGGTCAGTGATAGTCTGGGGAGGCATATCCATGGAGGGACTCACAGACATCTACAGGCTAGACAATGGCACCCTGACTGCCATTAGGTTTTGGGATGAAATCCTTGGACCCATTGGCAGACCCTACGCTGCTGAAGTGGGTCCTGGGTTCCTCCTGGTGCACGACAATGCCCAGCCTCATGTGGCGAGAGTATGCAGGCAGTTCCTGGAGGATGAAGGAATTGATACCATTGAATGGCCCCCCACACTCGCCTGACCTAAATCCAATAGAACACCTCTGGGATATTATGTTTTGGTCCATCACCGCCAGGTTGCACCTTAGACTGTCCAGGAGCTCAGTGATGCCCTGGTCCAGATCTGGGAGGAAATACCCCAGGACACCATCCATCGTCTCATTAGGAGCATGCCCCGTCGTCAGGCATGCATACAAGCACGTGGGGGCCATACAAACTGAGGACCATTTTGCGTTGCTGCAATGAAATTTCTCTGCAAAATGGATCCTCTGTAGGTTAATCATTTTCAATTCCATCAAACACATTACCCAATCCATATAAGTATAGATATCCAGCATGATATTTTTTACCCATAGAGATCTAATGTGTTTTCAAAGTGTTCCTTTAATTTTTTTTGAGCAGTGTACAGCATATATAGATATATATACTGCTACACTCTCGAGGGCCGCTAAGTTTTTGGGTCCCCCTTTTGCTGTGCACAGCCAGGCAACACGCATCTTGCACACTTTCATCCAAAGTCAGTAAAAAAAAGTCCTTGAGCTTGGTTTTTGTTGTTTTCTTAGGGGATAACAACTTGGATGGGGTCTTGGGGTATATGGGATGCCCAATGGAATGGTACAACTTTGGAGGACAAACTTCTTAGTAAAAAAGACAAAAATCAGCAGTACAGTCTTTGCAAGGGGCACCTGATCCCCTTTGGTGAACCTCCTCAAACCCCAGATGAAACTCTCCTCATCCACCTGGCTGTCTTGAGAGTGTCCTTGGGCAAAGGATTTCAAGATCTACAAATTACATAGTCCCAGGTAGAACTAGCTGGGTATTGGACCTGACTGCTCTCCAGTGAGCTTCAATTGTGTGGTATGAAAATGCCTTGTTGATGTCAGAGGAGAATGGGCAGACTGGGTGCTGTAACATTCATATGGTAGGGTCAGAATTTGGAGTAAACATGAAAGCATGGATCCATCCTGCCTTGTATCAACAGTTCTGGCTGGTGGTGGTGGTGATGCCATGGCGTGGAGGATATTTTCTTGGCACCAGCAAGGTGTACCTAATAAAGTGGCTGGTGAGTGTATTTATATATACATATATTTTTTTTTTTTTTGGGGGGGGGGAGGAATATGATTCTGAGTTTGCTTTGGCCCCTTTATGAGCAGAGATGACCATAGGTTCTAGATGCTTAGACCAAATTTAGTAATGCCAGTATGTATCTGTGTATTTTTTAAGTAAAAAAAAAAGCGCTTTTGGGTTCAATGTTTTATTATAGGCTTTTTTTTTATTATAGGCTGCCAAATGGACAAAAAATATATACAAAAAATACCTAAGAAAAATACAATTTTAGTTAAAAACTTTTTTTAATAATA